CCTTTATACAAAAAGGTGGATGCATTATCTGCTTCAGCAGTTCACGAGTCCTAAAGTCCTCGAGGCAACTTTACTGACCATAGGAGGAGCAGTTCGTCAACTGGGAAAGGGCGGTATTCACTGCTTTAAGTACATCTATTTCCCCGATGTGGGATAGATTGAATGGATTCTGTACACCGGCCGTTCTAGATTTGACAATAGTGCTGGTTATGTCTTGGCCTTCAAGACCGAGAGTAGCGAGCAAGGCCGCGACACCAGCAACCATAGGGGTCGACATCGATGTACCACTAGATTTGCAGTACGAACCTCCGGGGATCGTCGAGTAAATATCCACACCGGGAGCAGCAACCTTCGTAACAAATCCAGCGTTCGAGAATCCAGCAAGAGACACCGTTTCCGTTGGATTAGAAGTACTGGCAGCCACACAAAGCATAGATGGGATGTCCTCTGCAAGGCAGCAAGGATAGGTTCGGTTCTTCTCTAGATCAAGCGCTTCATTGCCAGCAGCAGCAACAGCAATATGTCCAGCAGCAGCGGCGTTCTTGTATGCTGCCTTCTGGAGCTCACTTGTGTTATACCAGCGGTAAGAATGAGAGGATACTGTTGCACCATTTTCAACTGCGAAGTTGAGGGCCCTCAGCGAATAACTCAAAAGACCAACACCGGAATCGTCGCAGATCTTCAATACCATCAGCTTAACCTTCGGCGGTGGGCCTTCAATGTTAGCCACTCCTGCAATGCCAATGCGGTTATTAGTCTGGGCGACCGCAATGCCAGCGCAGTGGGTACCATGACTAAGGTCATCAGTCACATTGGTATTGTTCTTAGCGAAGTTGAATCCAATAGACCCGTCAGCTGGATTTCTCCAGAACTGATTGACTAGATCGGGATGAGTCGTATCAACCCCCGTGTCAATGACGGCCAGCACAACATCTTTCAATTTCAACTTGGCAGAACGAGCCGCTCGCCAGGCAGCTCCCAAGTGAATGATTTCGAGATAACGCTGACAAGAAGAGCCGGGATCGTTGGTGCCGAGAACACGATTGCCACCATTACAAGTAGCTGAGGATTGAACCATACTGGGGATAGGATCCAGGATGATCTTCACATCGGGCTCGCAATCAAATTCGATGCCCAGCAAATCTGCGGCCTTTTTCAAGTAGTTCAGAATACTGTTGTGACCAACTGAGCATGTCGACTCTACAATCTGGACCCCTATTGCCTTCAAGTCATAGACCATACCGTCCTGCGTGAAGCATCGTTCACACTCGTGGTCGTCTTGGCTGAGGAAACGTTTCCTACCAGCAGATGCGGTCAATGCCTGCGCAACCATATCCGGTAGAAGACGAACATTGAGCGAGTTTCCGCGATGGGATAGTCTCAACAGGGTGCGTTGGGAGGCTATCACATATAATAAGACCGTCGATAGTAATGCCGAACGTGCGAACAACATGATGCTATGAAGGGATATTCCTGAAAAAAACCGTATTCGCGCGATTGCAGATCACAAGGTGCCGGTATTATTCGAGCCTGGCTGGAGGCGACTCGGTCCGGAACGTGATCCGCGTGGTAACAGTAACGATCGCACAACCGCCTACAAGCAGCTTCATCCTGCAAATGTATGCCACTTTAGCAACACTCACGGAATTAACGATTACGATAGTCGTAACAGCTATGAGATTGTCGCGAACCTTCTCACGGAGGTTGTGTCGTCACCTAGATACGATAACACGAACATATCATAGGCTTCAAGCGTGCGAGCGGCATCACTTTGCGGCGCACAGTGTCTGTGTGTTGTAGGGCTCGGACAGATATTAGCTAACTGGTGGTTTCAGTGCTCATATTAGCCAACACAACCGAGAGGGATCTTAATACGAGTATTTGGATGCAGTAGCGAGATGAAGATGACAATGAGAGGCGCTAAGAACTGGGACGATGAGCAGCTAACAATCAGCCCGTGCCCAGTTGCCACGCGACCAGATTCAGCATCGCACGTGTGACAATCACAATGACCGTATTATATGTTCATCCGCTGCATTCGAATTCATGCACGCTGGAGCCCCTGTAATTCCCCGAGACAACCCAGAAGTACACCTTTTTCGCTTCGTCTCGAATAGTCACGCCTCGACATACTGACGCCTCTTATGGGCGACGCCAGTCGGGCGTGTAATGTCTTGGTGTTGGGCACCTGCTTTGCCCAAAGCTTCAACTTATGCCATGATGGCATCAGCGCGCGCCAGGGGTGGGGGCCCCTGAGAGAGCGCGCCCAAAACCTTTCACGCAATCGCGCAGGTGTGTAAGGAGTCTTCACTCTCCGCTCCGCTCTTTGTATATTCCGCTAACGCCCATAGCCTGATCGATACATAGCACAATAGCGTAGAAGTAGATCTAAGTGCAGCTCACATATATCCTCACCTCGTCGCGTTGCTAGTATGGTTGGAACCCCAACAGCTGGTGGAGAACCCGTTGGCCTTGGACCCTACAGTACACTCCTTACGACCCTTAAGCTCAAGGATGTATCTGATTTAGAGTTCGTCAGCGTTAAGGACATCGAGGAAGCACTTCCCGAGGACGCTACATTGCAACATAAGGTAGATTGCCTACGCCTCCTCAAGCAAGCCAAGGCTAATCGTCACCGGTCTTCTTCGGTCTACTCGTCTGAATCGACCTCAACATCCATTCTAGCATCTGCGACTACAACAAGCACAACTGAGGACGCTAAGTCTCTAGCAGGAGTTCTACGCCTCCAACCACCAGACGGCAAGGTATGGCAAGGCACCTCGGACAAGCGTCCAGCCACAGCCTTCCTCTATAGAGTAGCCGAGTCTGCTCGACTGGCAGCGCTCAGCGAGATGGATACTTGGAGATATTTGACTACGGTATGTATGCAGCAAATTCAAGCCCGAGAGCTTGATAACTACCTAGCCAAGAACATCGCCTCCGATGCTACCATACTCGATCGACTCCAGTCCGCAGAGCATTGGTTTAACAACCGTTGGTCTATCACTAACAACGTGGATAAGATCTATGCTCAGCTCCGAGATATCAACCACACTACTTTTAAGAATGTCGAAGCCCTACACAGCATCATTGTAAATTTGCAACAACATGCACGCTATCTCAACCATGAGATACCCCTTACGGCTTTACGTCGAGCCTTCCTAGATGGTCTTCCAGTTTGGCTGCGACAACCACTCCTACAAATACACCCTCAAGCAACTACCCCCCTCAATGTCATGGTGGATTGGTGTATCTCTTATGAAGAATCTAGTGGTT